TCTTTTACCTATCAGGGCCAAGCTACTGACCAATTAGTGACAGCTTTTTGATGGAGGTGGACCCCTCTGGTCCTATTTTGGGTCACTTGTTTTTTATTGTGACATTTGTGGTGTCAATCATGTGACACTATACCTTTCAGTGGAGAAAACAGATACTACATAGACATCAAGAAAATAAAGTGGTTATTATTCCAGTAAACACTAATATGGTGGCAGTGACGACAGTGTTGCTGATTAGCGTTACAAATGCTTTACTTTTTACATATTTACTTAGTATAATTTCTTTTTCCTTCTTTGAAAAATAAGCCAGTCAACTCCTCCTCCCCATATTTCATGTCATTGGCTGTTCGTCGTAAACATCTTGCTTTATGCACATGCACATAGCCTAATAGCTTGAGTATCTAAACCTAGGTTATCAACAGCTGTTGTGAAACAAGTTAACCACAGCTACATTTATTAGGTTTTGTGAATCAGAAACTTAGGCCCAATCCCATTTCTTCTTTTTATCCCTACCCCTCGTTTTCGAGTATCACCCTATAACTCAGTTCCAAGGGGTAGTGGTTGAAATCTTGCCCTATGAAATGGGACAACCCTCAAATAAAATAATAATAATAATAATAATAATAATAATAAATAAGATAAAATTAAAACACACACACAACACTTGCTTCATTAACAGGCTACTAGCGGTGCTTTGTAACCGACCTGGCCTATCTTCAGTAATAGCAGAGAAAGGACAAGCTCAGCAACATCGCTGCTGGGCTTTAGTTACATTTAGGGCATCATATGCTTTCAAAGAGGGGGTATAAGACAATTATTTATTACCCACCGCTAATTCTTTGGTGATACGAAGCTGAGATCCGCTATTCGCCAGCTTCTTGCTCGAATTTTCCCGTTCCACCTTAAGTGGTGCAGCAGATACATTCTGGCGCTTCAGGCGTCAATACTACTGGACTATTTAAGGTAGAATGGGAAGCTTAGCTAGCTAGCTACCGAAACATTAGCATGCTATTAGCGATTTTTTATGCTTGTTATGAAGAAAACGACCATAATACATTAACAAACAACATTAAAGTAAGATAATACAATAGTTATTGTAATTTTTTAATGGAGAAAATATTCACATTTGTGGGTTTCTTTGGTCGCTCGCGCAGCCATCTTGTCGTTTTTTTTTTTCTTTTTCTGATAACACTCCGTTTGGAGTGTGCCTCTGAAAAACCTCCATTTGGAGGGCCATGTAGCCCTAACACTTCGCCCTACCCCTCCATCTCAACAAAAATTGGGACACACTAACCCTAGACGTGAACGCGTAAAACAGAGGGCTAAGGGCTAAGGGCTAAGTGGTATGGGCAAGGGGTGAAATGGGATTGGGCCATAGTCTGGATCCCTGCATGTGCTTTCTGAGACATGTCCAGGGCGTCAAGTGACTTGACTATTATGAACATATCTGGAGCTTCAAATATAGTACAAATACAGGGCAAATGTTTTAGGCAATGTTTGCTTAGAAAAGACTTGCACAGTACTGAACATGGAAAATGCTGGTACGTTGCTAAAAAGACAAAGCTTGACTGAGTAATAGCAGCAGTGATCGGAAGGCTAAGAAAAAGACGCAAGGATGGAAATTGGTCAGTTATGCTTTGGAAAAAAAAAAGCAGAGGTGATGATGCATTGATAACATGAGAAGCAGAGAGGATTCATGGCACCCTTTAAAACATGGGATACTGTTCACAAGTACATTTTGAGATTCTAACCAGGTCTTGAATAAAATCTTATATTTCTGTAATTTCACAAACTTGTATGTTAAAGGTAAAAGGCTTTTGCAACTCACTATAGCTTCTAACTACAAAGAAAAAGGTTTTATATATTATGTTATAAATATGTCTAAGAATATTTTAAATGACTACAGCAGTCTTGTGGTAAGGGTAGCTTTCTGAATCCGTCATTTGAGCTATGGACTGATACCAGAGTCTTTGTCTCAGATCAGTGGAGGAGAAAAAAAACATAACAGAAGTCAACAGTGCGTCAAATTTTCTTGCCAACATCAATCCCTCGTGCTGACAGCTTTGGACTGAAGGTTGATTGAGTCTGATGTGCTCCATGATACTTTGCTGTTGTGGTATAGCATGAATAAACCATCTGTGCTACGGCAAATATATTCTAAACTCTAAAAGTAATATATAACATAATGAACAACTATTATAGACAGTTATTTTTTTTTAGAGACATTTACACAATAAACAATTTATATACAATTCAGAGTAGAAATTACATGGTGCCCTTTCTTTTGAAATGTCATGCTTGTATGAAGAAAAAAAAAAAAAATAGTTCATATATGATGTAAGCAAATTATATTGTGTGGATGTGTACAAATTCATTGAAAGCAACAGAATATGACCTCAGTTGAGCACCAGAGTCACTTGATCAGCACTTACACTTTGTAAAATAAATGTGCAAAGCATTCTTTGTAGAAATGCCATCTAGGAACCACTTTTTTAAAGACTTGTTAAAGAACCATTTTTGTAAATGAGTGTAAAGAACCATAAAATTCAACTTTAGCTTGTTTTGGAGGTCCATCAATTGAAATATGAATTATTTTTTCCTTTGGAATATTAGTTGTTGAAGTGTATTTGTGTGATGGAAATATGTATGATTTACCTAGCCATGAAGGAACTTTCTTCTTCATAGGTGAGCAAGCAAATGAACATTCAAATGAAATGAAAAGCGTTTTTGTGGTGGCAGCACATTTTTATATTAAAAAAGCTGCAGCTGTCAGAGGTGTGAATTGTTTTGATTGCTGATTGTTGATTCCTTGCTAGCAACTCAAAACATAGTCTCATAATTTCACACACAGAGAGCCAACAGTGTTTAAATTAATATGATAGAGCTGCAGAGGAAAATATTTAACTAGATTATATTGATTAAAAGTATCCAAGTCAATTGAATAAATGGATAAAATTTCCACATAATTTAAAGTTTTTTTTTTCCTATAACTGTACATCCAAGCCAAGAATCATTTAGAAACCATTGTTTTTAAGAGTGTACTGATACCCCAGCACCCACTCTGCTATGTACAGCTACACCATGATGCAAATGGCTGTAGATGGCTCATCTCATGGGAAAAATTGAGTTAATGTCTGTCATTAGGGTAGAGGGAACACTGCAGTCAGGCTCTGTTTACAGCCTTGTTTTGCAGCACTGTACTCTTATGTTCCTCAGCGCAGCTCTGGTTTTAAAATTTGCATTAAGTGTGCATGTGGGACGATCTCTCTTTGTCACAGTCAGACATAAAATACAAGGAGGAGAATGCTGGCACTGCCAATGTCTTTTATAATCCTGCTTAAAGAACATTACATGCAAATCAACACACAAAATGATGCCTGTCTATAGAGGATTGCAGCAGTGGTGTAGTGGTGTCCACATATGTTAGCATACTGTGCTATATAAAGGAACTCAATCTGCCCAATAATTAAATGGTCTAATTGTTATGCTTAAAAAAAAAATAAATAATGTAAACTCAACAAAACTATAAATGTAACTATAAAAATAACATTTTGCTTTTTGTGTTCTCCTAGTGACCTAAAACATGCTATTCTATCACTGATGTATCAAAAGTAGATACTTAATCGGGATGAGAACATAACGAATCTCAAAACTGATTTGTTAGACTAGAACATTGCTGTTATTACAGTTGTCAGATGCATCTTTATGCTGTTTTGATGTTTTTGTGCTTAGTGTCTTTCATTCCCTATTGCCATGTTAGTCAGCTATCATTATAATACGTTTTTTTCAGTCACTAGAGCACGGCAGTGGAGAAAGATCACTAGGAGTAAACATGAAAATATATCGTTAATCAGCTCATGACTGGATGAGCATAACATGTTTGCTCTCTGCAATTAAGTCAAAATCAAACACAAAATCCCAGACACAAACATTTCCGTTGGTAGGTGGGTATATTGTAAATCAGTCTCCTCAGAGGTGTGGGTATACACTGTATACCTGCACCACTGCGATCACTGAGAACTTGCAGAGAAACTGAACCACCAAGTATTACCAGTGGTGTGCTTTAGCAAAATTTAGGTAGCACTTTGTACAGTGAGATGTGAATGTACATAATGAAAATGACAATGTTTATTCCCACAGTGGCTTTCTTGCAGTGGTGTAACTACAAGGGAACAACTGCACTAGGATCCATGACGCAGTGATGACCAGGCACTGCATGTATATGCTCAATTGTCTATCTGTGACTCTCAGAAAAATACGTAACCTCCTCAGTCCCAGACACTAAAAAATATTTTCTTACGAAACATGTTCTCTGCTGCATACTTAACATAGAACATTTTTTTGTTTACTGGGAAACAATATTCAGTGTCCAGTATACTAAATGTTTGGACTTTTTTTTGAAAAATATTTGAAAAAAATGAACATATTTATTATTACCAACATTACAGGACAAAGCCAGCACTGAACAGTTGCATGAAGTTTCTAAACTGGCTGCATGAAACAATTTCTGAACTGAAAATATGTATACAATCTTTAGAACTACCTGGACCTCTGCATGAATGGCATCTAAAATATTTTAATAATTTTCACAATAATTTTTGTATAATAATAATAATAATAATAATAATAATAATAGAGCTTTTAACAGAAAGTAGAAACACTGATTTCCATTACTATATACACACACAGTGATTCAAAAAGATTCATCCGATTTATTCATTTATTTCACTTGTATATCATTACAGAACAAAGCAGTAAATTGTAAATGTTTTAAGTGAGGATAAAGTTTATGTAATTTCAGAAGTACTCCAACTGTACAGACATCAATGCAATAGTCAAACTCATCCTATACTTGATTGAGCATGTCAGGTGTCACTGTACTCACGGCTCTTTCAATGCGATTTCGGAGATCATCCAGTGTTGTGGAAACAACAACGAATGCTCTGAGCTGTTGGAGGTTCACTGCCGACAACATGTTACACAGTTATGACTGATTCACTCTTATTGAAGTGGAGAACAGGGGTTGCCATCTCCTCGCAGACTGAAGGGAACCATCTTCCGGTGACCGTCAGAAACTGTATGACCCCCTTTTTCAATTGGTATGTGATTGTTTCCTAGGCACCTCACAGTTGTAAAAATATGCCGCATTGAAATCGGATGAATCTTCTTGAATCACCCTGTAAAATGAGCAAATGGTGGAAACTATTAAGGTCATTGATGAAAAAAAAAAAAAAGTCAGAAAACATTTTATAATCTATATTACATACTACATAGATTTACACAGGGTTGGGCAAAATATTTTAAAATAAAGTAGTGTTAGCTGAATATTGAATACACTGTTCTAAATGTTTTCCATTACAGTACATAAAAATTTAATGTATTCAGAATATATTTGAAATACATTTAGAATACACTTAGTACATCTTATTTAAGTATAGAAAACCTTTATTTACTTAATTCACACCGTTCCTCACTGTCACTGTTTGGCAGTTTTATTCATGCAATTATTCTTTTAATATGTTTCAGGATAATTTGCTTACCATTTAAATGAAATTCTGAAAATTCTCCACATTTTTTCCTCTCATTGCCCACTTCAGTCCACTACTGCTCCCACAATCCCCAACCAGGAGTCCAGTACAACATGGATGCTAAAATGATCACCCACAACATGTTTTCTACTGAGGAAATTATTAGTTGATTATTCCTCAAAACAGCTAAGTAATGCTAATAAAAATAACTTGTATGTGAACACACAAAGCCAAAAACGAACGCTCCTATTAAAAGGAGAAAAGAGAGAAGGAGGAGGGAAAACCTATTAGAACCTACATTCAGGCTACTTGGGCAGCTGCCTTTGACACTACAGTACATCTCATACCTGTGTAGTTTAACTGCCCCTATAACAGCAGCAGCTATTTCACATGGATACCCTCCCAGCACCCCAGGAGCACAATGAACCATTATGGAGATTCAAAAATAAATCACATTACAGAGGAAAATAATTAAAATAACTAACCAAATACAAATAAACTAAAGAAACCTCCTCCAATAAAATCAGAAGCAGCACTGGTCACATAGAACATATTATGGTCACCCAAAAGCTACAAATTACAGCTTATACCAATATAAAATTGTCTTTTTTAAATAAAGTAAACAAATTAACATCACCTAAATGTATTTAAAAAAAAAGCTTACTTATTAAACTCTCGTTGGAGTCATCTGAGAACAAGTTTCAAGTATTTACACTTGGAACAGCACTGGTCATCCGAGGCCTTTACTGACCTCCCACTTGCTCTAGTTAGCAAAATAGCACGAAACATCTCATTATGCTAAAAATAAACTAGACAAGTAACAGTGCTACAATCATCAGAGTGCATTTCGTGTACAGTGCTTGCTTACCAAACTCAAGCTTCAAACGCCTTGATGGCAGAGGGCAACTGCAACCTTTGAGACAGAATATTTTTCCTTTTCCATGCAGGCACACCAGTCTCACAGGACAAAGGAACTAAAACAAATGTAGCACACAGTTTAGCTCCAGAAGGATACATAAACGTCTTTTCCAGCAAACCAATTTAATTTAAAACTACAAGGACGCCAAACTCAGCACGTTTTTCCCCATGCACGCACATGCCACGAGCTACAAACTCAAGTGAGCCACAGGTGAGCTTAATAAAGAAGCAGGGAAACAGCATTAGTTTGTAAGAACCTATGTCGCTGGGTCCTACTGTCCCTCAGTTAGCTGTAGCATAGAATTTGTCGAAATGAGAATTACCACTCTGCAATGTCTTCTGGTTTTCTCAAACGCTAGAGGGAGCTCCCGAGTGAGTCCAAAATGAATGGGTTGATATGGAGTATTTGAGCAAAATCATAGTTTATAAATGCTTAAACATTTTTAATGTAACAGAATACATTTCCTGAACACTGAATATCATAAAACATTTTAACACTGCTGTTATATTTTTAAGAGCTTGTAAAGTCGAGTTATAGGAGTTTTAAACGGCACCTCATGTATGTTCATGACGTCTGTGAGCGCGAACAGCCAATGAGCTGCTCCGCTCGCCAATCAATCATCACGCTCTAGCATTAATGCCCGCCTTTTGCTGCTCAAAACCCGTTTGCTGTAGAAAAAAGGAAAAATATAGGTAAGATTTCTTTGTTTTTAGTGAAATACATCCCTCAACGTTCTGGGCAAGTGATAATGAACTTTAACTTTTCGTTTTTAGCCGTTGAGTGCCATTTACTCCCATTCATTGAGGACTCTGCGGGGGATAGGAAGTGGCCAGGCTCCTCATAAACCGGCTCTGGCTGTAGTACTGCCGGGTCTTACTGCCGTTGTATTAGCTACGGCTGCTGGGTCCTAGTGCCCCATAGTTCATACTCTCCCGCTCCTAGCTCCTACTCGTTACATTTAGAAGCACACAAAAGTTAGTGTTATGACATACCTGTATAGCTAGAATACCTGGGAAAAATGTCCAGCATGCCTCACCAGTTATTTTCCCTAATAGCCAAGATGTCTGTTTTTCTCCATCTTATTTATCATGCATTTTATTTAGGGTAACCATTTTCAAACTGATCCTTCACAGTCTGCACCATGACATGTTCATAGTTTATCATTGTAAAACCTGAAATACATAGTCAATTGTAAACATTTAGGTTAATTTAGATGCTAGTAGGTGCAGCAGCATGCTCTGAGAGCATCAACTTGTATGAGACATAACAGTAGTATGTAAATAAGCAAATTACATTGCCTTTTTTTATCCATTGAAAGTAATTTTCATATGGCAGGGGCGCACGTTGTGATTTTCATAAGTGGCGCCTCATCCTGGATAATCATTTGTTTTCTTTTCCTGAACAAACATTGCTATCATCCAATCAATGATTTCTGAAATCATCAGCCTGCGCCTTTGCTGTTTTTCAAATTCTGACCAGTGCCTCCTGCTTGTGCAGAGCAACAGGTAACTCCACAAATACATTGTCTATGAGCTTTTTCTATACTGAAATGTATTAGGATAAAATAAATGGGTACAAAATGTTACTAAAGTTGTTTCATCAACTGACAGATAGTGTTGATAGATAATGTTGAGTCTCTCATACAGGCTAGTCAGTTATCTTACCATGTAGCATTGCTAACTGGCTATCTGGCTAATTAGGTTGTGTTTAGCAAACAGTAAAACTAAGAAAAGTGTGATTTTTTAAAGGATATGTTTGACAACATTCACAAATACCTAACAGATTAAATTATGAGCTACCTAAAGCTTATCTAGTTAGAATGCTAGAAAACCTAGTAGTACTTTTCACAGCATGATGAGCAGCTTGTCCTGGGTAGCCAATAGCTGCTGATCCTGGATAGTCAACTGGATATTGTTCATGACTATTTCTTCTGTAACCCGCATGAAATCCTTTTTAATGACTGTGTTAATGTGAGATTTAGATCTAGCAAATCAATCCTGCTATTGACTGTATTAATCTTTGACAGCCAGTTAATCCTGCTACTGACTGCATTGATCGTGGATATTTAGTTAATCCAGTTAATGACTGTATTGATCCTGGATAATCAATTAATCTATTTTATGACTGTATAAATCTTGGATAGTCATTTAATATTATGACAGACTGCATTGATCCTGGATAATCACTTAATCCACTTCATGACTGCACTGATCCTGGATAGTCATTCAATCCTGCATAGATTCTGGATACTAAGTAAATCCAGTATCTGACTGCTCTGATCCTGGATAATCACTTAATCCACTTCATGACTTTGTTAGTCCCGTATAGTTAATCCAGTTAATGACTCTATTGATCCTGGATAGTCAGTTAATCTAGTTAATGACTGTATTAATTTTGGATAGCCAGTTAATTGTATTATAGACTCCATTGATCCTGGATAAACTTTTAATCCAGTTCATGACTGCATTGATCCTGGATAGTCATTCAATCCTGCATAGATCCTGGATACTAAGTAAATCTAATATCTGACTACACTGATCCTGGATAATCACTTAATCCACTTCGTGACTTTATTGGTCCTGTATAGTTAATCCAGTTCATGACTCTATTGGTCCTGGATAGTCAGTTAATCTAGTTCATGACTGTATTAATCTTGGATAGCCAGTTAATTGTATTATAGACTGCATTGATCCTGGATGAACATTTAATCCAGTTCATGACTATCTTGATCCTGGATAGTCATTCAATCCAGCTCAAGACTGCATTGTTCCTGGAACATCAGTAAATCCAGTATCTGACTGTACTGATTATAGATTAATCTAGTTCATGACTGTATTGATCTTGGATGGTCTGTTCATTCACTTACTGACTGTATTGATCCTAGGTGATCACTTAATCCAGTTCTTGACTTTATTAATCCTGGATAGTCAGTTTATCCAGTTCATGACTGCATCCATCTCTGGATAGTTAGTTAATCCAATTCATGACTGTATTGATCCTGGATAGGTAATTAATCCAGTTCATGACTGTATTGGTCCTGGATAATCGATTAATCTAGTTCATGACTGTGTTTATCCCTGGATAATCAAGTAATATAGTTCATGACTGTATTGGATATTTAGTTAATCCAGTTCATAATCCAGTTCATGACTGTATTGATCCTGCATAGCCTATTATTCTATTATTGACTGAATTGATCCCAGAGAGTCAAGTGATCCTGTTTATGACTCCAATGAGCCCAGACATTCAGTTAATCCTGTTCTTGAAGGCATATATCCTGGATAGTCAGTTAACCTAGTTATTGACTGTATTGATCCTGGATAATCAGTCATTCCAGTTTCTGACTAAACCGTTCCTGGATAGTCAGTTAATCCAGTTCATGACTGTATTGATCCTAGATAGATAGTTAGACATATTATAGATCGTATTGATCTTGGATAACTAGTTAACGGAATTCGTAACCTAATTGATCCTGGGTCGCCAGTTAATCCAGTTTATGACTGTAGTGATCCTGGTCAGATAGTTAGACATATTATTGTCTGTATTGATCTTGGAGAACTAGTTAATCCAGTTTATGACTGTATTGATCCTGGATAGTCAGTTAATCCAGTTTATGACTGTATTGATCCTGAGTTAACCCCATTTATGAGTGTACTGATTCTTGATAGTCAATAAATGTAGTTCATAACTATTGATTAGCCAATTGGTTAGCCAATTAATCCATTTGATAACTTTATTGATCCTGGATGTTCAGTTAATCTAGTTCATGTCTGTATTACTCCTGGCTAATCTATTAATTCAGTTCATGAATGTTCAAGTCACCTATTTGGTTTGACCATTATGTAAGCATTACCTATAAAATTCCAGAAGATGTGTTCACTTGTTTGGATTGTAAATAATATGACTATATTCTACCTTGTAGACCTTGTTACCCCTCGTTCCTGTCACCACAGCTGTAAAGAAATCTGAGTCTGTAAATTTCTATACAATGAATAATATTACATCAAACCACTCTGAATCCACTGAAATATGCATTTTAAGTGAGCCACATTTCTCTGTTATAAACTTAAAGTCTGTTCATTATTATTTTTAATTTTACAAAGACATTTGTCAGTGCATGGTTCGTCACCATTATTCTGTGTAGTGATTTGTTTTTAATTATTAATCATTCAGTATTATCAAGTTGTAATTCCATTAATCATTCAATGTTATCAAATTGTAATTCCATGTGTGTTTCTTATATTGAATCATTAATTTAAAGATTTCTGAATTTTTAAGATTTTAAAATTATTTTTTCAGTTGATCAAGTGATTACTGAGTGGAATGAATGGTGACTTATTGATTCAGTTGAATGACATTGATTTAGTATCATAATGAAACAATGAGTTGTGTAAGAGCAGTAAAAATGCAAAACTATGCAGTGCTCTGGCCCTCCAAGATCTGACTTTGAGATTATGGTTTCTGATAATATGTAATAATATGTGAAATGCTAATAAAAACAGAAAGCAGTGATTTGTAAATTATGTTTGACCTGTATTAAATAAAAATGGTACAAAAACAGTGTTGTGTGTTGTACCTGATAAACTCCATTGTTTTTTTGTTTTTTTTTTTTGTAAATAAATGCTCATTTCAAATGTGATGCCTTCAATACATTCCAAAAGATTTGTGACAGGAGCATGTTTATCACTGTGTTAAATCACCTTTCCTTTTAACAACACTTAATCATTTGGGCACTGAAGACACAAATTGTTCCAGTTGTCAAAGTGTAATTTTTTGACAATCTTCTGTTTTACGAGTCTTTAGCTGTGCAACTGTACGGGGTCGTTATTGTCATAGTTTGAGCTTAATATTGTGACATATTTCCCATAGTCACTGAATAATTTATATAAGTTACTGAGTCACTCATATTAGTTACTGTATCATTCATAGTATTTACTAAACAAGTCATAATAGATACTGAATCATTCTTAGCAGTTACTGAGTTATTCAGAGTAGTCACAAAATAATTCAACAGTCACTAAATAATTTATTGCATTTACTGAATAATGCATAATAGGTTCTGAATTCAAAGTAGCTACTGAAAAATTCATACTATAATGCAAAAGCTTGGGTGCAAGTACAGTAAACTCAGCAAATAAATAGAAATGAAGTGCTAAAACTTGTAGAAAAAAATACTCTGTATTTTTGTTCCCTG